GGGTTTAGGGTTTAGGCAATGAAGCTCATTGCCATTTTTATCTGCCGCTGCTCCCCCGGCTCAGACAGCCTCCTCTTCCTCAGCGCCGCCTACGACCTTTCAGCGTAACCCTAAACCCTAAACCCTAAACCCTAAACCCTAGCGCGCAGCCACTTCTCAAACCCTAAGCTCAACCATGCAGGAAAACCAGAAAGTAAATTAAGTCAGCGTTCTTCTCGCATCGAGGGGATAAATTGAATGGTTTAGGTTCAAGGGTTTAGGGTTTAGGGTCTAGGGTCTAGGGTTTAGGGTTTAGGGTTTGCCTGTGCGTACAGGTTTTCCTTTTACCAGCGAAATACGGTGAAGGAGGGCTTGAAGTTTGTTGTTAAAACCGCTATACCGAGGGTTTGTCTCAAAAGATTAAGGTTTAGGGTTTAGGGTTTAGGGTTTAGGGTTTAGGGTTTGTTTGTCACAACCGACGGCTCTCCCCGCTTTGATTACCAGGACTCTGTCCTACTGCTTAGGGTTTGGGGTTTAGGGTTTGGGGGTTTAGGGTTTAGGGTTTAGGGTTACAAGGCAACTCTTCGCTTAGCAGTCAGCAAAAAGCGCTACTCGAGGGTTTAGGGTTTAGGGTTTAGGGATTAGGGTTCAGATTAGCTGCAGCTGACGGAGAGCAGGCAAGAAGAAGTAGAGGGTTTAGGGCTTAGGGTTTAGGGTTCGTCGCTTTGTGCAGCTGCCAGTGAACAGCCACCAAGAAGCCGAGGGTTTAGGGTTTAGGGTTTAGGGTTTGTGGCTGTGTGCAGCTGTTGATGAACAGCCAACAAGGGTTTAGGGTTAGGGTTTAGGGCTTGTCGCTTTATACAGCTGCCAGTGAACAGCCAACAAGAAGCCGAGGGTTTGGGATTTAGTGTTTAGGGTTTGTGGCTGCGTGCAGCTGCCGGTGAAAGACCGTTTAGGGTTTAGGGTTTAGGGTTTAGGGTTTGTGGCTGCGTGCAGCTGCCGGTGAACTGCCGGTGAAAGACCGTTTAGGGTTTAGGGTTTAGGTTTTAGGCTTTGTGGTTGTTCGCAGCTGCCTGTGAACAGGGTTTAGGGTTGAGGGTTTAGGGTTTAGGGTTTAGGGTTTAGGGTTTGGTGCGTGCAGCTGCCGGTGAACAGCCAACAAGAAGTGGAACACGAGGGCCTTTGCGCTTTCGTTTTTCGCTATCCAAATTCTTTGGCTGCGTTGGCCGTGGGAGACAAAGAATACCCTAGAAGGTCCAAACCCTAAACCCTAAACCCTAAACCCTAAACCCTCGCAGGCCCAGGGCCTAAACCCTAGGCCCTAGGTGGCGCACCCGCAAACCCTGCGAGGTCCAGCTTTGACGCTGAATGCTAAACCCTAGGAGGCGCAGCTGTAAACCCTAAACCCTCGGAGATGCAGCTCCAAACCCTAAACCCTAAACCCTAGAAGGTGCAAACCCTAAACCCTAAACACTTCGCCAAATTCGACTCAACTCGAAACCTTAAGTCCTAGAGTGAAGAAAGCCTTAAGCCTAAACCCTGGTCAAGCCCTAAACCCTAAACCCTCGCTCAAACCCTAGATTTTATATCCTCACTAAAATTACTTTTCACCTTCAGCTTTGGCCTAAACCCTCGCCGAAACCCTAAACCCTTGCCTACACCTAAAACCCTAAACCCTAGGGTTTTAATTGCAAACACAGGCCTCCCAAGCTTTAAACCTTCGTTCAAAACGCTAAACCCCAAACCCTAGTACTTGAATTCTAATTCCTAATAAAACCCCAAACCCTCGCCAAAGCCCTAAACAAAGCCCTCGCAATGAGTCAAAACCCTCACCCAAACCCTAAACCCTAAACCCTTGGTGAAACCCTAATTTCTTCTTCGCCAGGGTTTGCAATCTCGAAACTCCCGCTTTCTCATTACAGACTCTCTACAGCCGCGCTAAGGGTTTAGGGTTTAGAGTTTAGGGTTTAGGGTTTAGGGTTTAGGGTTTAGGGTTTGGGGTTTGCGTTGCAGGGTGGCGTTTGCCTGTCTGAACGAGGTGTATCTACAGTTCACGCAGAGCGTGCCGGCGAGCAAGTGGAAAAGTTTGGAAATAAAAAAAGAAAAAAATAATAAATCAAATAATCCAGAAATAGATTTTGGAGAAAAGATGCAAGTCCTTTTGAAGAAGTACAAAGTCCGCCACTTCTTTCAGTTCAACTTTCTTTTTTTTAAAGCACTTTTCCTTTTGAATCTTTTTTCCAATTTAAAAGTTCATTTCTTTGGCCTAAACCCTGTTTTAGGGTTTAGGGTTTTGCATGCAAGACCCTTTTCTGGCTCTTCTCAAATTCTCAAAAGTGCGCTTTCCAGAAAAGCCCCTCCGCGCTCAGGTGTGCGTACAGCCCGCCGCCTGTGGGGCCCGCCAGTCCCAAAAGGCTTCAAGCCTTTGCATGCGTTCTTTGCATGCGCTCTTTGCATGCGCTCTTTGCGTGCGTTCTTTGCATGCGGTTTTATTTTGCGAGTTTCCACTTTTTGGAAATGTTTATTTGGGAATTCCTTCAAAGGCTTTATTTTGAATTCTAGAAGATCGGAAATGTCCCGAAAATGGAAATGTTGCATGCGGAGGGTCAAAAATGCAAATTGCCAGCTGCATGCAAATGCATGCAAGTGCATGCAAACGCATGCAAGTGCATGCAAGTGCATGCAAATGCATGCAAATGCATTTGCATGCACTTGCATGCACTGGAGTTCGGGGCTTGGAGACCACTGGTCACTTTCAGTGGTCATATTTGCAAAGTGGCCAAGTGCATTATTTTCAATCCAAAAATGGCATTTTCGGGATTATTTACAAATCGGAAAAAGCATTTAATTAAAAGAAATTCTTTTTTTGATCATTAAGTGCATTTATTTCCATAAAATGTCCTTTTTTGGTTTTGAGAATTTTTCCGGAATTACACCAGTGTGTGCTGCAGCTGCGGTGTACGTACACCTCACGGGTGCTGCGCTGTCATTCGTTTGATCGATTCCGTTGCTTTGTTTGTTCAGTTCATTTTATTAATTGATTTAAATGATTAATTTAACTATTTAATTTAATTATTTAATTCAATTATTTAATTCAATTCATTTAATTTCTTCTTTTCGCCTTTTGCAGAACCCCGCGCTCTCAGACCAGCTGGTGCAGGCGCAGCTTAAGGCAGACAGAGCGCAAGTAAGTCCACAAACCCTAAACCCTAAACCCTAATTTTAGGCTGGAAGGGGACACGACACCCGCTCTCCGGCTGGCCCACCGGCAGCTCCTCGAGGGTTTAGGGTTTAGGGTTTAGGGTTTAGTGCGGAGTGGGGAGTGGGCCCCAAAGCCCGCGGCTCGTCCCCCAGCCTAGGGTTTAGGGTTTAGGGTTTAGGGTTTAGGGTTTAGGGTTTTGCTGCGCAGGAGGTGGTGCGGCAGACTGTTGTCTCAGTGCTGAGACAAGGAGAGAGTTTGCAGGAGTTAATAAACAAAAGCGAAGACCTTTCGGGTTTGCTGCAGCAAATTATTATTTTAAAATTAGTTTTAATTTTAAATTAATTTTAATTTTAAATTAATTTATTTGGTTTATTCTCTATTTCGGGTTTGCTGCAGCAAATGATTATTTTAAATTAATTTTAAATTTAAATTAATTTGGTTAATTTATTCCACAAAGGTGACGAATGGGCAAGTTGCTGCTGCTGCTGTTGCTGCTGCACCTGCTGCTACACCTGCTGCTGCTACCGCACTTGCTGCTGCTGCTGCTGCTGCAGTGGGCCTTTTTCCAAGTGCTGCAGCAGCAAATACAAATATGAACATAGGAAATAAAACAAAAACATTAAAAGTTATTTTTTGTTTTATTTATATTTGTTTTAATCGTTTTTAATTGCTTTGAATTGTTTTTAATGCGAAGATAAATATATTTAAAGAAAGTAGCAAATATAAACTGTTATTTTTCTCTTTTTATTTACATATGAATGCATGCGGCTGCAGTGGGGGCAAAAGTACTAAAATGAAAATAATTTAAATTAATGAAACAAATAAACTAAATTCATTTTTTAATGGAAAACGATTCAAATGCATTTAATTAAATAAATAAAATTGACTCTAAAATAAAAATACTTCAAATTCAAATAAATAAATGAAATGAATTTTATAATTAAAAATAATTCGAATTTAATTAAATGTCTTTTTGTCTCAGCGGGCTCTAAGCAGCTCTTCAAAAGTACAAACAAAGTGAAAAGCAGTTTTGGATGCTGCAAAATGCAGTGAGCAGCAGCAGCAGCAGCAGCAGCAGCAGCAGCAGCACGAACTGCAGCAGCAACTGCAGCAGCAGATGCTGCTGGAACTGCAGCAGCAGCAAGAGCAGCAGCATCAAGAACAGCAGCAACTGCTGCTACTGCACGAGCAGCAGTTGCTGCTGCAGTAGCAGCAGCTGCTGCTGCTGCTACTGGACGAGCGGCAGTTGCTGGAGCTGCAGCAGCAGCAAGAGCAGCAGCAGCTGCTGCTGCGGCACAAGCAGCAAGAGCAGCAGCAGCATTTGCTGCATCTAGTGCTCCATTAATTTGTGCTTTTATCTGAATTGTATTAAAAGGACTTTCTAACATTTTGGGGATTTGTGTAATTCCCGAAAAGTCCTTTTTGCTTCTGCATGCATATTTGCACGCAGTTTCCGTTTTCCCCCAACACAAATCCCCTCGAAACTGCTCCATTTGACTCTTTTTGTCCCCAAATTGCATGCATTTGCATGCATTTGCATGCGTTTGCATGCGTTCGCATGCATTTGCATGCATTGCATGCAAATGCATGCATGCAATGCATGCATTTGCAATTAGCTGAAGTTGCGTTCTTTTCTGCATATTTTGCGGTGTACGTACACCCGGTGCCTTCAACGCCAACGGCGTTTTATATAAATATAAATGCTTTTAATTTGTTAAAAGTATAAATTTATATTTGACATATAACTGTTATTATCTATATAAATACTTTCATTTGTTAACAATATAAAATTATATTTGATTTATAAATGTTATATCATTTATATAAATGCTATTAATTTACTGAACATTAAATATAAATACCTTTATATTTTATTTATTAATATTATTTGTCATTTATAATAAATATAAATACTTTTAATTTATTAAATATTATGTGTACACTGCATTTAAGCTATAAATATTATTTATATTATTTAAAATAAATATAAATATTTTGTATTTCTATATTATTTGCGAATAACACAATACTCCGGGGCTTGTCAAATAGAAACTAAATGAATATTTATTTATTAATTCAAAATAAGTAAATTATTTATTTATTTATTTGCATTTTAAACAAACTGTTTATTCAATTTATTATTATTATATTTCTAAACGAAAATGCAAAGAGCCTTTTATTGCAAATCTCTGTGGGGCCCAACCTCCCCACCTACACCCTAAACCCTAAACCCTAAACCCTAAGCAGCCTAGCGAGGACGCAAAAGCCTGTCACTAATCTTTGTCTCCGGCTATCTGCTGCAGCAGCTGGCTGCTGCTGTGCAGCAGCAGCTGCTCTTTGGTGTTTCCTAGTTTTCTCAATTGCGACTTTTCTGCTGCTCTTAAAGGCAACAAATCTCTGTGTCACTTTCTGAACCACGCGTTGCTGCAGCAGCAGCAGCGAAGCAACAGCAGCAGCACTTCTCTAAGCGCCTTCAAACCCAAAGCGAGTTCTCCAGCAGCAGCTGCTGCAGCCGCTGCCGCAGCAGCCGCTGCAGCAGCAGCTGCT